CCCGGCGCCGGAGGCGGCTATGTATCGAGGAATGGGCCCCTCAGTGGGGCCGAAACCAGCTGCATGCAGCAAATTCCGTAACCCCCGCTTTCCCAATCCCACCCTTTCGCCCGACGCAAACATCCCTCGAGAACATGCGACCCTCCGCCGGCGCAAGCAAACGGAACATCCAAGGGCACCCTCCCCAGGATGCACAAAAAAACATCCGAGGATCACGAAAAACACTCGGGTACCCCCCCCGAACCGAACTCGATCTTTAGAAGAAGAAGAATAAGAAGAAGACGAAGCATAATAATAATAATAATAATAAGAATAATAATAACAACAATAATAATAATAATAATAATAAGAAGAAGAAGAAGAAGAAGAAGAATACGAAGAATACGAAGAAGAAGAAGAAGAAGAAGAAGAAAAATAATAAGAATAATAAGAAGAATAAGAAGAAGAAGAAAAAGAAGAATAAGAAGAAGAAGAAACGGCATACACATAAACGTTTGACGCTTCGCGCGGAGTTCTTGGATCTGCGCTGGACCCCCTCACCTGCGCGCGGGGCGCGCCAGGGGCGGCGCCGGAGGCGCCGCAGGGGGTGCCCAGCGCGGATCCAAAAATTCCGCGCGGATTGCCAACAGTTTACTCCCCACATGCTTCGTGGGGTTCTGGTTTTCTTCCCTTCCGCGTCTCACCCGCGTCTCCTCCTTCTCCTCCCTCTGCTTCTCGTCCCTGCCACAGCACAGCACAGCACACAGCACAGCACACAGCACACAGCACACAGCACACAGCACACAGCACACAGCACAGCTCAGCTCAGCACAGCACAGCGCAGCTCAGCTCAGCTCGGCACAGCACAGCGCACCACAGCTCACCACAGCACAGCACAGCACACGGCACGCATGGCATTTCCTCGACACCACAGGGGGGGAGCTGTGGGTGGGGACGCTATCCGTTTCGGGCTCGCAAAGCGTGGCAGGCGTGGCACTTCCTCGACACCACAAGGGGGTGCGCAAGGGGTGGTCTCTCACCGCGGCCGCTATGCACGACGGTCGTCCAGGCACAGTAGGCGTGGCACTTTCTCGGCACCACAGGGGGTGCGCAGGGGGTGGTCTCGGTCGCCCAGGCACAGCAGGCGTGGCACATTCTCGACACCACAAGGGGTGCGCAGGGGGTGGTCTCTCACCGCGGCCGCTATGCACGACGGTCGTCCAGACACAGCAGGCGTGGCACATTCTCGACACCACAAGGGGTGCGCAGGGAGTGGTCTCTCACCGCGGCCGCTAGGCACGACGGTCGTCCAGGCACAGCAGGCGCTGAACATCCTCGACACCACAGGGGGTGCTCAGGGGGTGGT